CTCCCACAAGACAAAACAAAAATATAAAGTGCTCTAAAAAGTCTTCTGCAGCTCATAGCGGAGGGTCTCCAACAACAAAACATTACAGCTTGACTGTTAGACGACCATTCAAGGGTAACAGTGAATTTGACGAACAGCATATAAAGCAAATTAGACAGAAAATTTCACTTGACACAGCTATGAAAAACAATCTGCACTAGCATTGGTTTCTATATAAATAAGCTCAGAGGTTCATACCATGTCAACATTGTAAAAATAAAAAAGGAAATACTGCATGCACACTAAAATTAATCTAATGTACCAATGTGTTCTTGAAAAAATGCATTCAAATTAAATGAAAAAAACACAGGGAAAAATAAAGTTCAGTGAGTCAGGTCAAACATTTTCCATTAAGATTCAGCAGGAACGTCTTTATCCTGGAATTCCTTTTGGAAACGAGTGCAGCTGAGAGTGCAAGTGGTGGTCCAGCTGTTTGTCTCCACTTCCCTCTTTGCGTCAATGCCTCCGGGAGTCGGAGCCTAGTTGTGGCCTAACGGAGAGAAATACATTTCAAGAAAGGTCACCATCACTGACATTAATCAAACATGGCACACCTAACATGCTGCTCAAGTATGTGACAAAGATCTAAAGGTGGCTCATAAATAAGCAAGAGCTGATGTTATCATGTAGTGTGACTGCTTCCTGGTACAGTACAGTAAGATCTAATCTCAAAGCGTCATTGACATTTAACGAACCAGTAACGTCTACGCCTACACTAATATTCTGCTTCATACACGTACTGAAGAAGACACTGACCTGCGAGGTATTTTGCACCAATTAACATCAACATGCTGCCAATGATGTAGAAGCCCAGCGGGGCGCTGCTGAAGATACTAGTTTCACCTTTTTGGTCATTCGAACAAACAAATAAGGGTAAAACAGAGGGGAGACACAGAAGAACAATATGTTTAAAGGACAAACAGAGAAACCAAACTACAGCTTTAGATTAAATGGATTTAAAGCAGGGGTGCCCAAATGTTTTCCCTTGGAGGGCCCAAAAACAGAAACTTAATGGAAGCATAAACACTGCAATTAATAATTAGTGATCCTACATATTTAAAGAGCATTTTTAATTGATTTTTTTAGCAGCCCTGATTTAAATGACAGAGCAGCAGCATTTTATTGGTAAAGGTACTAATAGGATTGTGTTTTTGTCCCCCATCACTGACATTAACATCTAATGGATTTAATGGGTTTAATGGATGGACAGGAGGAACAATTACAGCTCCCAATAATCCTTATAATCCCTATCCATATAGGCATGTCTGCATTGTCATACTGGGCCGCACATTGACAGCGAGCGTTCAAGTTCTTCAAGTTATTTGGCTCCAATGTGACACTGCCTACCGTTTCCATTACAAACAGGCTCTGTCGTCTCCCAGTTCATGGATTTCTGCACCGCCTTCTTCCACCGGGCGTACCGAAACTCACTCTCTGCAAAGCATACAGAAACAACATTACTTTTAAGCAGCAGCTACTGAACACACATACTTCAAAGATGTGCAGAGGCGGCGGCGGCGGCAGCAGCTCACTGTACCTTCAGTGTTGATCTGAGGCTCGAACTTCTCAGAAGTGACTTCACTCAGGTCCTCTGGGTTCAGACTCCACACGCTCACCCCCTCTGCTGCTCCCGCTGCCATCGCTGCCCCGAGCGCTGTGGTCTCAGGCATGGACGGCTTCACTGAAAATAACAACAGTGTGAATAATAGTCACATAGCAATACAAGTTACTTTAGAATACTCATATTAGTAGAAGTAGTAATAACAACACTGTTGTGATTTAATAAGTTATTTTAACTCAAAAACTTAGTTATAAAAACACTCCTGATGAAGTACCTTTAACTAAGTATTTTGTTTACAAAGTACAAATAAAGATTAAGTCAGTGTCACTTAAAATTACAAGTAAAAACTGCTTAATCAAGAATGTTTTTAACTTTAAAATTGAGTTAGTATCACTTAAACTTTTCAATGTAACCAGTTTCAACAATTTTTTGAGTTAACTTAAAGGTTTTACAGTGAACACTGATCACTGTGATCAATCTAGACATATTAAGGGGCCGCTGTGTAAGACATGTCTCCTCACTTTATCATTTATTCCACATGACGCCAGCAGAGGGCAGTGATGCTTCCAGTGTAGATACAAAAGGACGTTAGTGTGCGAATAGTGTTGACATACACAATTATTTATGACATATATTTTTATTAAACTTCCTGTATCTGCGGGCTGCGACGGCGAGACGAATGCAGCCGTGGCATCTCAAAACATAATTACAGCGCTGTCAGTTGCCTTCACATCAGATAAATGCGGCGTCTGGTCTGATGGTAAGAGAACCAGTTTGGTAACTGCTAGAGTTATGGCTGTCAACACTTGACAGCCATAACAATTTTTAATTTATGTGACGTGTTTGACAAACACGTCACATAAAACCTAAAAATATGATAAGAAATGAATGGAAATCTCACCGACGGGGATGCAGAGAATGTCCGCCTGCAGCTGCATCAGCAACCTGTTGGACGTCATTCCTCCGTCCACCTGGAGCTGAGTTAGCGGGATGCCGCTGTCCTGATTCATGGCGTCCAGTATCTGCATCCATGCAAATATCCCAATAATTACACAAATACCTCCTTTTGGTCAAATAAATGTAATCAGAAATCCCAGTTTTGTGAACTACTCCACATAGCAGTTAAACTTAAAGAGATATTCTTATTTTACCTCTCGTGTCTGGAAACAGACAGCTTCCAGAGCAGCAAATGCGAGGTGACTCTTATTTGTAAACTGAGTTAACCCGCAAATGATCCTGTGACACAGAGAAAAGGATAGAACTCTGCATTAAAGCAGGCTGTGGGAATAATATTAGATGTGTTTACAACTATACAGGGAAGTTCTTGGTCTTACCCTCTCGCACTGGGCTCCCAGTAAGGCGCATAAAGACCCGAAAATGCAGGAACAAAATAACAGCCGTAGGACGTACCGACGGATGCAGCCAACTTCTCTGCACAGGGAGAAAAAAACACAGAAAAGCAGGTTGAATGAAGGAAAATACCTATGTGTATTTCTCTTAAATGGCAGTTTTAGCTTCTTAAATTGCTCTTAATTACACATTTTACTATCCCTGTACAGAAACTCTAGAGACTAAATCACACCACAGTCCTGAAGATGCCGCTCAACACATTTGATTCGTCTTCAAACATACCGAGCTCTTCAGATGATCCGATGATCCCGAGATTGTCCTGCAGCCAACGAACCACAGCTCCTGCAATGGCCACAGAGCCCTGCCAAGAACAACACAAATCACCCGTAAACTGAAAGGCCCTCGCACTGCACAGAGTACATTTTTGATTATACAGTACATTATAAAAGGAATAACAGGTGTTTTGAGACACTGTACCTCCAGTGCATAACAGGCAGGTTTATCCCGACCGAGTTTGTACGCTACAGTGGTGAGGAGGCCGTGATCAGACATTACAGGCTGCAAAACAACAGAAAGGTGTCACACTAATGCAATGTATGAGTGTTTAAAACACAAATCTTCAGTAATGTACCTTAGGTCCAGTGTTTCGCAGGAGAAAGCAGCCTGTTCCATACCTGAAACACATAATAAACCTTGAATTTACTTCAATTTCTAACAAAGGAGAATCCAAACATTTCAAGGAAAGTCCAGAAAAAAGCCACACAAAGTCACTCACGTGTTTTTCGCTTGTCCATCCTGAAAGCACATCTGTCCAACGAGTGCTGCTGACTGATCCCCGAGACACTATTTTTAAAAAGGTCGCATATAAATCTATCAGCAAACTTCAAAGCATATCAAGCACATTGCTGACAATGCTGGAAAGTAAAACTAGAGATGAACCTACCCCTGAAATGGGAATACCTGAAAGAGCTCCAGATTTCTGTCAAAGGGAGAAGATGGTTTTGTTTAATAAGTGAACTGTGTATTTAATGTTTAATGTTGTGACATTCAAAGAACATTTTAAGTGTTTTGTTTCATCTGCAATTTGTTGTATTGTTGGTTCTAACGGCCTCTTGGGATATCAAATAGGGAGATTAAAACTATTCAATTTTGAATGGATTTGGTTCAAATATCTGCTCATTTGGCTAGTTTACATTTCTAAATAAAAATGTGTATAACTGATTAAAAACTTGAAATTATACATACATACATATTTGTTGTCAAAATATCAAATAAATAATTTTCCAAATACAATCAGTCATCAAGGGAAAAACTTAGTTTTTAATCACTAAAAGCAACAACCTCACCCGACAACAACACTGAAAACAAAAGGGAATTACTCATTATTTGGCTACCGGAAGCCAAATAACTCAAATATTTTAATACTACCAATGTTTACATAAAGCACAGTAACAGTGAGGGAACCTGTATAAATTAAAATGTCTTCACTCCTACGTCGTTTTGGTGTAATGTATAAAGACAGAGGACAAAGTTGGTTACATAAAACTGTGGCAAAGAGTGAAGAGATTTAGGTGGACGTGATGGGACGCTGCAGAGGATGATGGTCTGTCAGGAAAGCTGTGGGCGTTAATGACAACCAGCCAAGTAGCATGCCACAACAGAAGCAATGGACACGGACCATCCAGCACATTTCCAATGAAGCTTATATGTTCGCCCTCATGTTTGTGTACGAGTCTCAGCTGGGTCCGAAATCACTGAACAAAGGCTGCTACATCTTCTGGGAATGTGATGAAACTATTTGTCTGTTTGGTTAAACCTACAACTAACTGTCACCCAACGCAAGAGCAAATATTAGCATTCATCTGGAGCCCAATATTCACTTTCATTTCAGCAGTTTTTTAACTCCCGAGGGCTCTTTTAAATCAAAACTAGAAACCTGCTTTAATCTCTTATTCATAAAATATTTTAGAAAGATTTTCCTATAATGAAAACAGGCATTTTATTCTATTGTTTTACCAACTCAGTTCAACTAAAGAGTTAACTGTGGAGTCGTAATGAGCTTGTTGTTTATAATAGGGCACATGGAGGAAAATACTTAATAAAAACGTAGTTTAGGTCAATTATAAAATGTTAAACTTCTCCTTCTACTCACATGAAACTGTTGCAATACTTTTTCTGGTAATATGTTTTTATAAAGTCAGTGGCAAAGATATATAATAGTTCATAGTCATGTCATAGTTAAGAGTTAGTTACAACTAAGCAAAAGAGAGTGATGTGCACCAAAGGCTAATCATATATATATTTATAAATGCTAATTTCAATTTATAAGAAGAAGAATCTGACCCCTTATACAACTTTCCGACATCTAATAATAAAACAAAGTAAATGAACAGCTGAGCGACTGAAATATCAGCCTTTGTGTGAATCTTGGAAATGCACTGTGTGATCATCTAATCACTTTGGCCACGGAGAAGCAGTATGGGTTAACCTTTAAAGATGAGCAAAATAGTGATGGCGAGTATTACTTACCCGACTAGAACATATTTTCTACCAGTGAGAGAAGAGAGACAATGGCACACACAAAAAAAATGCCTAAAAGAATTTCTCAGTCAACCTTCATGCACAATCTGAAAGCACACTGAACACACAAACTGCTTTTATCTCATTAGTGGGCTGTTGCACGAGACTTTCAACACAACAGTAGAGTCACACTAGACACAACAATGAAATCATTACGATAAAAGATGTTAATATAAACACTACAATTTAAAAGTAGATCAGTGTTGGCAAGATATTGACAAATTCATGCATTCTCACCATGAGGCCATATATTTCTGAAGAACTCCTCACTCTGGGCAAGATCTCCATGGGAATACCAAAATATCTGATGGGAATTAGAGGAAAGAGCAACAGCACTTAAATAATTAAATCCCCTACAAGGAACTTTGATTGTGTGTTTATTCTGGCGGCCCCTGTGGACAAAAAAGGTAGTGTTTCGACCGACCTGTTTCATTGATTTTAAGGGGAATCCGACCGGGTGCAGGCACTAAAAATAACTGATCCATACCCAGTAAAAAAAACTCCTTGAAGTATATTTAGGCCAATTGTTTTCCTAACTTTACTTTACGTTTAATAGCTATACTTTGTTTGTTGTTATGGCTTTACCAAATTCAAAATGAGTAAAAATAAGGCACTGAGCTCACAAAAAGCATAATTTTAGTTTTGTTTTGGACGGTTGTGATTCACAAGTCATGCGACTATCAAATGATCATGTTGTTTTTCTTCCACATTTCTGTGATATATTAAATCTACAGTGTATAAATGACGATGGCACGAGTTTCAAAGTAAGAGGTCATCTCTTTGAGGGCGTATTTTTCAAATAAGAGACAGCTGTCGTACTTGCAAAGTTCTGGGTCCCACTCCATCGTGTGAATGTTAAACAGCATGGTTCTGCTGGCGTTGGTCACATCTGTGCAGTGGACACCGCCTGACTTCCCTCCTGTCAAACACTGTTGGACAGCCATCAAAAACACACACACACACACACACACACACACAGTTTTTCAAGAGTCAGCTCTAAAATCATCACTAGATGTAAAAGTCCGTCTGTGTTGAAGCAGTCTTTTCTTACCCAAATGAGCCAAGAGTCCACGGTGCCGAACATGGCGCGGTGAGACACGACGGCTTTGTGCACCTCGTCCACATTGTCCATCAGCCAGCGGAGTTTCACCGCGCTGAAGTAAGTGCTGATCGGGAGCCCCGTTTTATGCTGCAGGACGACAACAATGTAATGAACTCAAATATGTAGAAATAAAATATGAATTAAGAAAATATTAGATATTAGATAACAGTCAATTTATAACTGCCAAGTCAACTATTAAACAGAGGCCATGATGACAACTGATACAACCTCCTTAGACGGTAACTTTTTTTTTTCAAGGTTCAATCAATATGATAACCGATAATTACCTGCTTCTCATGTCCGATACTAATAAGATAACAAACAATTTTAATTAATAACCTGTAGTTCTTACTAGACTAAGATGTAGTGAGCAAACATGGATGATTTTATAGATTTAATTAATATCACTATTGTTAACACAAGAAAAACAGTTCTCTTCAAATGTTCATTTATTTTGTATTAAAGTACATTAAAAACATAACAAGCTTTGGCTTTCATAGAATATAAAACCTAGAAAAAAACTTTCTGCATAAGAATTCAAAATAAATAATTTATCAGCTATAGTTTAATTATTGGAATCATTTATAATAATATACATGTCCCATTATTGACCCTGATCATAACTGTGCACTCTAACTTATTTTCCCATGTGTTTGTGTCAAAGTGACAACTACAATGCAATCCCGAAGAGCTAATGTGCACTGTTAAAATATGCCCCATTAACAAAAGGCTCTTGTTTTTGCAACTGACCGAAAATTAAACAAATCTTCGGGAAAAGAAAGGAGCTCACCTTCAAGTGGTTCTTATTCCTTCCTGGAGTTTTATTAATGAGACGCTCGACTGTCGATTGAGTCCGCAGGTCCAGCCAAACTGAACAAAATGATCCATTCATTATTTTTCATGGCAACAAAGAGGGAAACAAAACAAACTGGTGATACGGAGATTCAGAACTCTACCGATCGCATTGTAGAGAGGCTCCCCGGTCTCTTTGTCCCAAACCAGCGTGGTCTCTCTTTGGTTGGTCACTCCGATAGCTGGACAAATTCAAGCCACACATTTCCAGAGATTTTAAATCATGAAACACCGCTTTTGAAATAAATGAAACTGAGAGGCGCTGTCATTAGCAACGTGTGGATACCTTTAATGTTTGAGATGTCTATGTTGAGTTGGGTGAGTTTTTCACACGTCCGCTCCATGCACTCGTACACCGACTGCAGAATTTCTTTGGGGTCCTCCTCGACCCATCTGGAAATCAGGATGGAAAAGTCACAACAAATGAAATCCACGCATTTCTAAAAATCGCGTGCGCATCTTGTAGGAACTGTATCGGATCTTACTTACCCTTCTTTGGGGAAGCTTTGTTTGATTTCCACCTGGTGATGGCTGAGGAGCTCTGCTGTTTTTGAATTAAACACCTTCAAAGAGAGAAAAGAGTGCAGCTTCAGCCAACAACACATTACTTTATTCACCCAGGGAACTGCAGTCACTCTAACCCTGCTCAAGGCCTCCTTTTTAGTCGTTCATCACGGATTCTGGAGGGGATTTCGGATTCCCCTTTTGTTATTCAGATTATTTCAGCTGTGGGATCCAAACTTAAATCCCAAACCTGCTTTTCTAGACTCCAGGTTACTGCTTTTCAAATACAAACTGAGCAGCAGTAGGGTGATGTTTATATTAAGTTATGACTCTTTGATGCACATTCAATAATTACAGAAATAATAACTTCAAATTATAATATTGCACCTATATAAGAGACCGTACAGGCAATGCAATCCTCTGTGGGACTTTTCCACACAGCAGCAGTGTTGTAAAGTGTCACCTTTAAATGGTACAATTATCACAGCTAAAAATACCTCTGCACATGTCAAGTGGCATTTACCAAAGTGAAACGAGAAGTCAGAGTTAGTGCCAACACATTATGATCACAAAATATTAATTGAGGGACTAAAATTAAAGATTAATTAAAGAATTTCCCCTCGTGTTTTCCTTTTACATTTGTTCTTTCCACTCCAGCAGGTAGAAAAACAAAAACACAATGTGGCCTTCCGCATATATTAGAAAAAAAGTCATAAAACCAATTAGAAATTAAAAAAAAAAACCTGAATTAACAGTAAGTAATAACCCTTTACTACAGGGCCTTCTAGTTTTTTTTAAAATGTGCTGATTGTACAATGATTCAGCAGCAAAAAGGCAAACTGAGACACTTGTCATGGAGTGAGAGGTAAATCAATAAAAACTCACTTTTATTGGCGGGATATAGACATCTAGCTGGCCTTAATATTGTGAAATAGCAGTTTTAATTGATATTCTGTATGTTAAAATGAAACCAGAGGTGTAGTGCAGGATATATACACAGGTATAGGGAGTATATTATATTATCTTTCAGTCGGCATTGGGTATATCCACTTCTAAAT